CGATGGCTGTAAACTCCGGTGTGAGCGAGATAGTCAAGAAACCCGGCCCTCAGCTGGGTGCCTGAAAACACCGGATCCCATACCGAACTCCGAAGTTAAACAGGCGGGTCCTCGTGTCAAAGCGGGGTGGGTAGGGCCCACATTTTTTTCAGTTTTGATAATTTTGCAGGTAAAATGAATCCGGCTCTAAGAGGTATTTTAACTGTCGGTTAAGGACCGGTATGAGTCCCCTTTCGTGTTTCGTTTCGAATGAATTATCAAACTATGTCCTGAGTGTCGGCGTCCATGCGTGAGTCGCACCACCCATCAAACACGTTTGCTTGAACGAGCTAGCAAGGAGGCACCGGGAGCAGCCAGTGAGCAGCCCTCCCTCCCCCCCTCCCCCAGGGGGTGCACGAGCGCCCTTAGGGGGCCCGGACCGGCCCAGGGCCACTCCTCCTCCTCCTCGGCGTCCCCCAGGGCAGCTCCCCCGGTGCCCGAGCGGGGCCGCCCCGCAGCCAGCCATTCCCCTCAAGACGTGCAGCCGCACAGCCCATTCAATCCGACCTGTCAATCTTCTCTCTATCCGCAACTTCGTTTTTCTTTCCGATTTATCTCGCCCTGCTCCTCGTTTCGCGGTCTTTTTCAATTTGCCTCCTCTCGCTTCCCTCCCCGTCCCGTCTCCCCTTACAAGAGTCTGCTTCCCGCCTGGAGTCCTACGGCTCCCTCCCCATAATGCTACCCTGGGAGGTAGGGGAGCGTGAGGTCGGATAGGTTCAAACACCTGTGCAAGTTCTTCTGTCTGACTTCCCCCTCGATTGAACCCTTTTGTTCTCCGGCTTGTTCATCACTCCGCCCCGGGGGGTTCGGGTCTGGTCCTCATGGCTGCGGCGTGGCGTGGCGCCGAGCCGAGCAGCGACACCACACAAGGGGTGGGGCGCTCCCGACCCGGCCCCGCCCCGCAGCGCCCATGGCAGCGCCACCGCAGAGCGACGCAAACGATTCAGAGAGAATTGGAAAGCGCCTCGGGGCTTGATTTTGTGAGGCAAACCAAACCACTCGTTGGCGTAGCGAGGCGTGGCGCTGTGCCTCCTCCTCCGCCCTCCTGGTTGCAGCCACCCCCCAGCCCCAGCAGAGCGCTTCTCCGTTTTACCGTGTGTGGTTTCCCTACCGGAGATAACAACTCCAGCCCAGCTCCGTGAGGATGAGAGGGGCTCGCATCTATCGAGCCTTTCAATATCAATGCGTTTCCGTTCGCAAGATTGTGGTTGTCCAGTCAAATTATGAAGAAGTATTATTGGGGACCATTGAAAGAAGTCAAATACACCAGGAACTTTCTTGCTGCTAACAATTGTGTAATATCATTTCTCTCTCTCTCTCCAAGACTTACAAGGCACAACACAACATAATTTAAATAAATCACAAATCAACACTTAAATCTGCAAATAAAATCTTGAGATTTTCATTCATTGCATCCATCCATAACAGAATGACAACATGAAAAACACAATACAACAACACAAAGTATTCTAAGTGGTTATAAAAATATCACTTCGGAAACCTAATGACATGACCAGTTATTGAAAAAATCACGAAAGGGGAAGAATGAAAATTATACAAATGAATTGATATTTACACTTCAAACTGTACATAACTCTATATTAATGTATCATACATAGTACTGAGCATTAGATTGTTTTCTTACATTGAAACTAATTTAAGGACTGATTTTGTTTGGTTACAAAAATTACCCTGATGCACACTTATTAGATATGTGGCAATCATAGAGACTAACACACACACTCACACACAGGCAAACTCTCACATCAACACTCACACATACACTATCAACAATTTTGAACAAGTGTAATTCCATGCCTCATTATAAGACCTTCAAAAATATCCAGACGAATTTCAAAATAAATTTGAGTTGCTGATTTAAGAAAAAAATCTTTTCAGTTAATAGAACCAGTGGTTAACCGTATTTGTTACAGTAATGTTACATTTATAGAAATAGGACTCCTTTCCTATGCTCAAAAACAATGAATGAAATTATCTGATTAATAAATTCTCTCAATAAATACACTATTTGAGCACATAAAACACATCTAAGGAAATATCAAAATATTACTGAGATTACATCTGACCTGCCATTCACAGATGGCCAAATTACATAAACACAGACATTTTCGTTTTTTGGGATGGTGCCAAAAAGGTAAGGTTTCACTTTTAATGAGGAATTGGAGCAATTATTGAACCTTAACATTATTGCTTGAGTTTCACAGCACAGCCACAAACCATTAGGTGTAAATTCAGACCAGAGAAACAGACTGTTTTAATCAACATGGCTACCTAATACCATGCACAGCATGCGAGATAGGCAATGACCGGGAACAGAAAGAAACACAAATAGAGAAAACTCACTCTTGCCCAAGGTGAGCAAATCAACTACATTCAACAGATGTTATACATGTCATATAAGCTAAACTATTCTTAACATGGCCGCTCTACACAACTTTGGTTGATCTGAGCAGAGCGTTATACTCTCTTTACACAGCCAAACATTGTTTGGAAATTTTGCAAACTATCTAAAATTGACTTAAAGAAGCACCAAACAACGAGGCAAAATGTCAATAGAAATTTTAAAGAATAATGTAAGAATTTGATTTTTTGAAGAAGGAAAACCTTGCATTATAACAACAGTATTACAATTTAAGATATTTTCTGTTATAGAAAATTTAACAAGTCATAAATTTGTATAGAGATACATGTAAGCTCAATTTATAGGATCAGTTCAGTCTACACATTACAGGTTTACACCTCTCAACATTCATTCTCTCACACCAATAAAATCTGATGTTAATGTTTGGTGGTTATTACAAGTAGCGTCAGTAAATATACTCACATTTGACACACTGATAATCAATGAACACATAAAAAATGGTATCCTGTTTAAATTTTAAAACAGCAGTTCTAGGTCCAACAAAATCAGTTCTAAATTGACCTAGTTTGTTTGAAAAAGACCATAGTATAGCAAGAAACAATACTGTATTTCTTAATTTCCCCAAAATGAAGAACATATCAATTTTATTGGACGATTAATAGATAGATATGTTACTCACTCACTGTTCAAACATCTTCTTCCGTTCAGCCACCATCCCACTAAGTGGACAGGGCGAGGATGAGTGTGAAGAAAGTGATGAGAGGGATGGGGAGGATGAGCGAAGAGGAGAACCAATGGGAGGTAGAGAAGAGCAGTGGCGTCTTGAATACCGCATCAGTTCTGTTTAACAGTTAAAATAAATTTCTCAGCTGATTAACACAATAAAATGTTTAGGGAAGGATAAAAATACCAAGGAAACAGTATATACCTGCAGAAGTGAGAACTGCCGGTTCCGTGCGCTGTTTGCTCTTTGCTCTGATGCCCAGAAACTCTGCTCGTAGTCCATTGCTTGAGCTGCCTCTGCTGATGTTCTGGTTGGAGCCTTTGAGAGAGAAAGATAACAGTCAGGTTGTTAAAAAGAGGATTATAAAGAAAAAACATTGGCCACATTAATTTGGTAAAATGTGATTCTTTTGATGTAAGATATTTACATTTCACATCTGTGCTACAGTTCTTATTTCTATAAGGCAGAATTGAAATGTTTGGTCAGGATGCAGAGTTCATGAGATGTTATGAAAAATGAGTACTGTGGGAAAACGTATCACAAATCACCACATAACGAAAGATTAAGCATACCAGAAAGCAGATCATGAAAAGAAAAAGGAAGATATCTCCGATGGTCATTAAGTGAGAGACTCTTTCTTCAGAAAAAAAAAAAGGGAAGCTGCAATGTAAGTTGAATGCATTGTCTGTGTTCTAAATCTAGTAGTATAGTTCACTATAATGTCGCTTCACTTTATTATATGATGTCATCTTTAAATTGCATTTGTAATTCAGCATTGTCATTAAGTCAGATGTTCTTGATACCAGCGCACAAATATTTCTGATGTTACACAAATGAATTGCATGGTTTTAAAATGTAAAGGTTATGCGATGTTAGAAAAAAAATTATGGTGGAAACTCCCACATGCAGTTAGGAACACTTGATGCGCATGAAATACAATACGCCACACATCAGGTAATCCTACCTTTGATGCGCAGTCCCCAAGGATCAGGCAATGCTGGGGTCTGTGGTGAAGTCTGGTGGGACCAGCAGTCCATGCTACCAAGGCTACCATGCTGCCGCACCAGGACAAGCATCACAAGCATTTATTGCACAATTTATTTTTTTCAAAGTAGTTCTACAACTATCAATTGAAGCACAAAAATGACTAAAATATTGTTCAAAAGTTGTCAAAATATTGCCTTGTTGAAGTCTCAGTAATTGACACACACATTTTCATCAAAGGAAAACAAACTCTTAGTTTACCAGAGCTGAATAAAATGAAAATAAAATAGTGCACAGGAGGAGATAAAAAAGTATACAGGGGGAGAAAAAAATGAAGTTTCATTCTATAAGTTGTTTGATGAACAACAGTAAGAAAAGACCAAATTGAGAATAGTCAAATGTACAGAATACAGTGACAGTGTGTGCAAACAGATATTACTATGCAGTGAACATGCTTCTCAAAGAGATAGCTTTGACATGCACAAAACTTACTTTGACAAATGATTTCAAAACAAAATAATGTGTAGATCCACCATTCCATTGCTTAGGTCAAGCACACACTTTTGTTAAAGTAATCTAATATACATTGAAACTACAAAATACTCAAAAAATATGGGTGAAACGATATGTGCCTTACTTCCATTGACCAAAATTTCTCATTGTTTGTAAACTTACCGTGCTATCAACACTGCTTCCACTGCAATGGCTACTGTTGCTGGCAACGCTGCTGTTGACACTGATCGTGCTGCTCCCACTTCCACTGATTGTGCTACAATTCGAGCTCAGTTTGCCTTCCCTTAGCAGTTGAATTGGTGGACTGGACCTTCCATCTTCATTAGCTTCTGACACAAGATGCGCCCTAAGCTGTTTGTTCCTAAGATTAAAATATTTTGAATTTAGAGGAGATTAACTAAATTGGTGATAGACATGACACATACACAAAATAGCGAAATGTATGTATACTATACCTTGCATCCAAATCTAATATATGCTGTTGAGCTTGAGCAAGCTGATTGCTCACAAGTCCTAATTGCTCCTCTAAAGCTGCAGACTCAAGGCATTTCACAGAATACTTTTCGGACAGAGATAGAATTTCTAGTTTAATTTCTTCCATTTCAGCTCTGAAGGGCAAAGAGACAATTACAAAAATAATTATGTGGAATACTCTAAAAGAATAATGTAAGATTTTTACAAGATCTTGGCAGTTTCTACTTACTCATGCTCTTTATGAAGAGCACCAATATCATGAGTAGCTTGCATCTTTTTAATGAATTCAGCCTTAAACTTTGCAATTTCTTTTTGAACTTCCATTTCATGAGCTTTACGCATTGCATCCAGAGCTGAAATTCAACAGGAAAATTAGAAATAGGTACAGATGTTGAATGAACTGACTGTAGAAACTTGTTTGACTTATGCTAAGCCGCCAGAAGTAATGTACCAGCAAGAGTGGCTTGAGTTTCTTCGGCTAAGGCTTGATCCTTTTCTAGGCGAAGCTGTTCAGCCTCCTGCCGGTGCTTCTCTTCAAGTTCAGCAATTATTCGACGGTGAGAATTATCCATTGCCACTAATCCTTTTTCGCATAATGCCTGAAACATTACAAATAAAACATAAAACTAAAACTAACACAATAGTTAAATCTAAAACAACACAAAAATAGCAAAAAGAAGCTAACTGTCTCATTTTTAATTTATTTATAACTTAACATACCCTAAGGTGCTCAATTTCAGTTTGATAACGTTGCCGAATGTTGTCGCCCGAATCTAAGTCTCTCTCTAAGCCAGCAGCCAGTGTCTTTTGGTAAGCAGTATGTAAATTATCCATTTGAAGGGAATACTCAGAATCTAGCGTGTCTAGCCTCCTTTCTAATTTGCGTGCTCGCTCTTTCAATTGAGCCTGCTCCATTTCATGCTGGCAAACCTGAAAAGGAAAATGACATCAGCAAAGTCATAGGATATTGTTGAGAAATGCAATGGGTTCAGTGAAAAGTACAAACTTACCAGTGATCTCCTCTGCATTTCTAGTTCACCAGTTAGGGTGGCCATTTCTTTTTCCTGACTATGACGCAGTTGTACTAGCTCTTCACCATGAAGCGACTCCAACCTGCACAGAGAATTGCATCTGGTAAAAACGCAAAATTGATGAGCGATTAGAAACTTCTGGAGCACTGACACGCAACCCACCTGTCCAGTTGTTGTTGGAGCTGCTGGCAGCGTTGACACGCCTGGCTCTGGAGGACGCAGCTCTGGAGGGACACCACCTGCTGCCTGAGCTGCGTGCATTGCGCACAGATGTCGGTCCAGCTCCAGCAGCCCGAGCCCTCCATGCTGCGGTCCGACCGCTCCGCGTCCCCGCTCCTCGGGCCGTGGCCTTCCTCGGTGCCCAGCTGTATGCAGTCCTGCAGGCGGTTCAGCTCCTCCTTGATGTCCGAGAGCGCCCACATGACCTCCCCGCTGCAGCTCTCCTCCTCCAGCGGGGTCGCGTTCACAGCTACGTCCTTGGAGGCCTCGCCCACGGCCACACGGCACTCGCCGCAGAACTTGTGGAAGAGGAACTCGAACTCGGCCGAGAGAGCCGCCGACGCGAAGCCGTGGGTGTTCGCCTCGGCCTCGGCGTCCACGACCTTGTTGACTAAATCGACCGCCGCGCCCTCGTCCACAGGTCCCGTCCGGGAGTCGCCTCTCCACACCGAGATCCTCGCGTCCACCAGCGCCTTGTGCGCCGTCACGTCCGAGAACTCCGTGAGAAGCCTCCGCACGTCCTCCTCCCTGGCCTCGGCGGCGAGTCGCTCCCATGAAGGCCGCTCCTTGCTCCGCCTGAGCTCAGAGAGGCGCTGCTCGTAGAGCGCCGAGAGCGCGGCCGAGGCCGCCTCCAGCTCCGCGTGCAAGGCCTGCTCCGCGACGTCCGCCCACAGCTCGAGCCGCCCGCGCTCTCCGACGCGGCCGAGGTCTATGGCCGTCTCTCGCTCTGCGGCCAGCACGGCCTCGTAGCCCTGGGCGCAGCACGCCGCCACATGGGAGATCTCCGCCTGCACCAGCTCGTAATTGACCGCCTCCTGGGCCATCCGCTGAGCCACTCGGAACGCGTCGCGCAGCCCGTCCTCTTCTTGGTCGCCGTCGACCTCCCGGTCCAGTCGCAGGGTCTGCTCGGCCAGCAGTGCGGCCAGCGTGCCCAACTTGTCTCGGCGGAATCGCTCCACGGCCGCATCCAGCTCCGCCTTGCGTTCCAGGAGGCCGTCGGGGAGTGCCGGGGTGTTCTCCTGGCGCTGCTCCAGCCTGCGCTCGCCTTGAGAGGAGACCAGCGCGCCCTGGAGCTGGAGGTGTTTGGAAAGAGTCTTCACTAGGTGGTCCAGCGAAGCCTCGACGCCCGGCGCGGTCGTACCAGTCTCTTGGTCCACCTTCGACTGCAGCGACGACATGTACCGGTCGATCTCGGCCAGCTCCATGCCCTGCCTCCGCTCGGCCAGCTCGCCCCCGCACGCCTGTTGGAGGCGGCCCACCAACACCGTCTCGTAGGCCAGCTTCTCGGCGAGCAGCTCCATGCGCGCGCGCCTGTCCAGCTGGCCGGCCTGGCGCAAGGTCTGGCGCCGCCTCGCCAACTCGCGCAGCTTGACATGCAGGAGCCTCTCCAGCCGCTGGACGGCGGAGCGCACCTCACCCGACACTGCGTCCCGGTCGGTCTCCTGGAGCACGGCATCGAGCTCCGCCATGCACCTCTCTAGTGCAGGGGATGCCCGACCGAGCAGCCGCATGCAGTCCCGCATCTTGGCCCGCGACCTGAGCACCACGTCTTCCAGGGCGACGAGCCTGGCCGACGGCAACCCCGCCTCGGCCTGCATCTCCTCGGACACCCGCTCTACGCTGACGCGCACGGGCTCCTGGCGCTCCGCCTGCCGCACGGCCTTGGCCACCTTTGACTCGAGGGCGCTCAGTCGGATCAGTACCTTCATCGGCTCCGAGCCCGTCGCGCTGTCCAGCGACTTGCGGCGCAGCCTGGACGACTTGTCCTTGTCCTGCAGCTCGCCGTGCGCGCCCCGCTCTCTCTCCCGGCGTCGCTCCGTCCTGCCCGCACTCCTGCTCGAGCTCGCCACGGACCCAGTCAGGGAGGGCGTCGGCGAAGGCGAGGACGGCGACGATGGCGTGGTGGGCGCGGTGCCCTCCAGCGCTGCCAACTTGCACTCCAGCTCGGCGAGCTTGTCCTCGAGCTCGCGGCAAATCTGGAACGACTCGCGGCCCTTGAGCGACAGCGACCGCCGCTTCTCTCGCACCTTGAGCGACTCGGCCTTGGTGAGCTTCTGTTTGAGCAGCCGCACCTGCTTCTCGGCCGCCGTCAGCTTGAGGGTGAGGTCCTCGACGCGCGCCGCCATGAGGTTGGCCTGCGCGCGCTCGGCCTCCTCGCGGCGCCGCACCTCCTGCCGCAGCGCCAGCGTCGACAGCTCCAGCTCGTCGTGGAGCGCGTGGGACTCGCGCAGCTCGCGCTTCATGGCGCGGATCTCGAGCACCGCCTTCTCGAAGCGGCCGCGCAGCTCCTCGAACTCCTCGACGACGCGCTCCTTGTCGAGCTCGTCGAAGCACAGGTCCAGGTCGATGTTGGTGAGGTCGGACAGCGAGTCCATGCTGCGGCCGCGCTCCCTGGAGGCGGACAGGGCGAGCGCCGTGTTCCGGCCCTCCAGCTCGTGCAGGCGCGCGTAGAGGCTCTCGTTCTCCTCGAGGCCGGTGGCCAGCCGCTGGCGCAGCTCGTCCACCGAGGCCTTGGCGGCCTCAAGTTCACGGGCGAGCGCCTCCCCGCGCTCCGCCGTGGCGCGCAGGTCGCCCTCCGAGTGCGCGAGCCGCTGCTGCCACACGTCCTGGTCGTGGCGGTAGCGGTCCTGCGCCTGCTGGTAGAGGCCGCGCCAGTCCTGGCTCCGGTCCACGCTGCGCCACTCCTCCAGCAGGGCCTCGTGCTCCCGCAGCAGCGCCGCGTACCGGTCCTTGAGCGCGTCCAGCTCCGAGGCCTGCTCGGTCACCTTGGCCGCCTCCCTGGTGCGCTGCTTGAGCTGCTCCTCGGTGCGCTCCAGCGTTCCCAGGAGGTCCTTGACTTGGCGGTCCAGCGCCCCGCTCTCCGCCTCCCGCTGCCGCAACCGCAGGGCCTCGAGCTTCAGCTGTGCCTTCATGTCTTCCAACTCGCGCTTTTGCCGGTCTGCCGTCTCCTGCAGCGAGGACAGGGACGTCAACGACGACAGCCGCGACGTGGCCGGTGTCGGATCTGGCGGAGTGTCCACGGACAGCTGCGAAAGGGGCCACGTTGTTAGAAATAGTGACTAGTACTTGACGCTAGGAGTGCAAAATATACAAGTAATAACAGTGATGCCTTACCCGGTCCTCGACGTCCGACTCTGGCATCTCCCCGCAGCACGCCAGCACCACGTCCTCAGTCCGCACCGAGTCAAGCGTCGATCTCCGTGAGGA